AGTGTGGTTAGAAGCATTCCGCTGAATGGAGCGCCAGTTTGGTCAACAGCACTGAAGACGAAAGCTAGATCACTGTACCGACTTTGCGCCTTAAGAGTATGTTGCGCTTTCCGAACAAAGTCAGAGGAAGCAGCGCGAACAGGTCTCTGTCCTATTGACATAGTGACAAAAGAAATAGTTGCAACATCTGAAAAGCACGAGAAAGAAATCGTGAAACGAAATTGTTTGCAGCAGTGGCAAGACCGCTGGGACCACTCAACTAATGGACGCCGGACATATAGACTTATTCCTAATATAAGCAAATCGCTTGACAGAAGACATGGGGAGGTTGTTTCTACCTGACCCAAATACTAACCGGACATGGCTGCTTTAAAGCATACTTGCACAGATTTGCCCACGAAGACTATCCGTACTTCTGTACAGGACAGGATGAACATTGGTTTTTTCGTCTGTACGCAGTTCGCAACCCAAAGGTATGACTTGAGGATAAAGGAGGAGAGGCCACTTAAGGGTGACAACCTTGTAGATATCATGCTTGCGTTAACAGAAAATTGGTCCGTTGTTTGTCATATGGCAAGCACTATCCTAAGAAAATTGCATCAAGCGGAACATCTTCATAGAAAGGCAATAGGCGTCCGCCAAGTAATAAGTACCTAGTGGTTGTTCCATGGAAGGAGGAAAATGGAGTACGGGTGGGTTTTTAGTGCGGTGAGCCGAAAGGCAAGTCGCCTTTCAATGCTTTGTGCCACCTCTATAACGTAAAAAAAAACTATGTTTTTTTGTTAAGAAGAATATTTTTTTATTTCCAGGAGGGTAATTTTATTTTAACCCTTTCAGGATCAAAGGTAACATATTTCCTTATTTCCCAAAAAGTTTTCCACTCATAATGATATTGCTTTAATTTTTAGAATTTTCACAATTCCAAAAAAAAAATCATTATATTTATTTTCCTTTTTGGGTGAAAAATATGTTCATAAAAATTATAACAAAACTAAGCATGCACTAGAAAAATTATATTCTGGAAAAAAAATAATAATTTAAATTTAATGAATCCAAAAAATCTAATTTTTTTAAGTTTGTTCTTTTTAAAAAAATAGGGGTTTAAAGGATATGTTTTAGGAAAAAATTATTTAGTCAAACATTAAGAAATCAATTTTTTTTATGAATAATAATTTTAATAGCCATAGATACGTAAATGTTTTTGAGAGCAAATGACTTTGAAAAAAGTTTTTTTGACATAAATATTTTTTTACAAATGCCGGGTTTTTGAGAAAAAATTACATTTTGAGAAATTTTTTGTTTGACAATGAATAAGTTTTTTTTGCGATAATATAACACTGTACGTACCAAAAAGCGACAAAAATTTATTTATGTTTTGGGAAGGAAATTTTCGACCAAAACTAGTTTTTAACGAAGAAATAAGAGGTCATAAGAGCCAGAGAAGCCTATCTAATATGAGAAATAAGGATCTATAACAAATAATTATCGTATTTTACTG